AAGGGTCTGAAGAATAACTGGAATCGGTAGTCGTCTTTTGGTGAGATTGACCCACAAATCTTTTCATCATGCGCTTTCACACCAAAGCGTATACTCTCTAATTAGTTTATAAAAGCAGAATGGAAGCTAAAGCTCGAAAGAGGAACTTCCTGCAAGCAGAATATACACAGAGCTCTCACCACTTATAATTTCCTTATTCAATATAGGATTTCATTCAGGATGCAATTGGGCCAAAGTTGGAATAATTTTAGTGAATGTGGGTGCTGAATGTGTTTAGGTGCACAATATATGATCCGTTTTTTCCGCGCATAGCATTTAGCCTTTTCCTCATAAAGTAAGCAGGAAACTTGTTTTACGAGAAAAATTTATATCTTTTTCTATCTAAAAGAGCAGTTGTACCTCCACAAGGTGCTTGAATCTCGATTTATATAAGGTATAGTCTATACGCTTAATGATAATGTTTTAAGGCAGCCATGGATTTAGAGCAAGGCCAGGCTATTTTAGCATAACGAAAACCAGTTTTATCTTCATTGCATTGCTGGCCTAAATAATTAAATAACCGATTTTTCAAAATCTACTCAAGGCCCAGATTGGTTTATAGATTTCTCATCATTATATTCACGAAGGTTTTCCCGGATCAACTCTTTTGGGCGTAGATGGTTCTGCTTCGAAGCCATGCTGAAAGTGTTGTCAAGCAACAGCTTTACGCCATTAAGATGCCTTCATGTTTGATGCAACTGAACTTGTATAGCTAATCTAATTTATTGGAAATTCTTATTAGTTATATTATATTGAATTGTATCCAAGAAGTTATCAGAGTAATTACGGGATGATTCTCCTCACTCGGAAAATGGTCCTTCGATCCAAGGCTATGAAAAATAGCTGGAAGAACCGGTTAAAGCTATCCTTATAGCTTGGGCATGCCGTAACTGCTAGTTTTCTCCTGTAGTAACCCGATCACCAAATACTTTTTTTACTCTTTAATTCCATCTTGAATAGAAAATAAGCCAGTCTAATACACAAATACGAAGGAGGCTGGACGTATTGTTAAATACTCAAATCGATCAAGTTTGCATCAATGATTATTGGTCTCCCATTATATGCTAGTGCTCAAGAGTGGGCTTATTCATTTTGCATTAATTGAAGCTTTTTAATGAGTGACTAAAAAATGCTAATTAACCATTACAGTTTTATAAATCTCCAATCAATTCATTTTAGAGTACATTTTAATTCGTTTAAAGAGGCGAATGGAAGGGAATCGTAAGTCGGTTCCACCTGAGGCTTTGGGGGGTTGCCTTGGAGCTGTTGTTGTTGATTTGTGCGAATAGGTCCTCGGTGCACCGCCTTGCGAACCCGATGAATCTTTGTTGAGCTTTCATCCTTCATGTGACGGACATCGTCAGAGCAGGACAATATGCTTAACGAAGATTCACCAAAGACACGAAGTCAAGAAAGGTGGCCGGCTTCAAACTTACTAACTTCTTATATTCCAATTTGGTCCACTCATGCATCTCATGTTTGGGATGGATTTCTAAAGCTTTGCCGCTATATTTGCTTATATGTTAAGTGGCTACGGATGACATGTGAAGTGGCTAGAGTTGAAGTGTGAAATGGGTGCTATTGAAACCTAACAGCTTCATCCTCTCCTAAACCATAAATGCCTTCTATCCTGCAATGTTACCGCATGTGATTTCATCCCATTGCACACGTGCACTGCTCTTGAAAGGAGTGTGATGTGAAAGACAAAATTAAATTCCAGCCTAATTAAGCCTCCTCCGGTAAGCAAAAGATTGGGGAGGCGATAGAAATCAACAAAACCCTGAATATAAGGAATGAGTATAGGATTGGGTGTGCAGTTCCTAAGGCAATCCCCCCACAGCCTCCGGTGGGACCAACTTGCAAATCCCTTCCATTCGCCTCTTCAAACGAAATGAAAGGTACTCCAACGTGAATCTATTAAAGGATTCTTCTAAACCTAGTTTTTCTAAAATGTAACAAATTTTTTTATTGAAATTTATTAGATCGTACAGTTGATCACTTCCGTCCTTCTGCCCAAGCTTGCTTTGGGAATGAACTAAATGAAAGCGAACTATATTTCCAGGGTACAACCTATAAGTATAGTAACCTGCTATAGTATTGGCAAAGATTTTAAGTCGAAACTACCTTCTGTTTTGTTGAAAAATATTTATAACATTGCAAGATGGAATAATAGTTTATTTAATATTCAAGATAAACTTTAGATAAATTCATAAAGTCCAGGTAAAACATAGGAAGCTGAGTTCACTATGGCTCTTACTACTTTCATGTATCAAATAAATCAACCTCAATTTTATTATATCAATCACATAGTCGAGTAGGTAACATTAAATCAAATTTCATTTTTGCCTTATCGTGTTAATGAAATATTTAAGTTTTCTACCACAGAAAGTAGTAAACTTAATAACCAGTGATGTACCGTTATGTAAGACTAAAAATGACTTTAGAGGTAAAATCAAATGGAGGTAAAAATAATTGTTTAAAACCTGCATAGTACTTGAACTCAGTTTTTTACGATTTTCTTTATAAAATCTGATATAGGAAGCTTCTTTAAAGTGATGCGGACTAAGGCTGAATTATAATAAGTAAAATAGCACGCAGACATTGCATTACTGAAGAGGAGGATAATAATAATTTACTGCCTTAATTACATTTTCAGAAGGACTGCCCCTCCGGCCTTCTCAATAGGTCCACCTTCCTCAGCATGTACACCCAATTTTTCCCCGATGGTAAAGCACGTCTCTTCTACGAGCATCTGTTTCGGACATTTGACCAGGACAATAGTGGTCAAATCGACTTTAACGAATTTCTAACAGTAAGCCTATTTTAGCATTTTTTTCATATTAAAGTTTCCAATTCGCCAGTTTATTCCAGTCATGTTTATTGTAATCATTATTTGCATAATGTAACTAGAATCTAGTGCTTCAATTATTTTTATTTATCCTGGTTTTCAAAACGGATTGTTCTTGCATCTCTTTCTCCCTATCCGATATTCATTTATTTTATTTTTTCAAGACTCTAATAAAATCGCGCACTTTTTTCTTTCGTTCTATTTGATGTAAATAACCTGAAAAAGAGATAAAGGAATAAATTTAATCTACTGTCTCGCCTACTCTCATCACTAAGGCCATGAAAAGCTAATGTCAAAAGCCATTTATTCTTAACCAGTATCCCTTTATTTGGCTTACCTCTTTGCATGAGATAGACAAACTTTGGGGGCCATTTACCAGTCTAGTCCAGTTTACATTATACATTATATATTCAGGTTGTTAGAAATGTGTATCATCAATGAAACCCCACCAAACAATTTAGGAATGACGGCAACTAAGGGTACTTTATGGTAATAAACCTTCATCATTAATGGGAATATATATTTAATGAAGTAATAGGATCGAGCCACTTAATTTTAAGCAAGCTTTTAAATAATCATCATAATTCTATTCACTTCACCTCGTTTTTCATGGAATTATTATCTAGCATTTTTCCCGACATTAATACTTCTTAATTTTATATGAAATAATCAGTTGGAGGAGTTTCTAGCTTTGCTTTGGCCTATAATGGAGGTTGATAGAAAAATTGTGAACTCCTGTGGTATTCAGCTAAGTTTATAGTTTACTCTCCTCCAGCATCTCAACTGAGGATGTCTAAAATTTAATCTTCTGAGCCTTTTAGTGCAAACATATTCTATGTAGCTAGAGGTTGCGTACTAAAATCAAGTCAATATGTGGTTTAAAGTTTTGTCTTAGTGACTATTTATTAAGCCTACTTAACTTAGGACAGAATGGCATTTTATTTCTATAAGACTGAATCATGAAGACGATTTTATAGTATGATTGACAATTATTTTTACTCGAGTGACTGCCAAAGGCAACCCTATGTCTTAGAAGCTGAGGCAGAATAAGTTATATATTATCCCATAAATGTATACACCTTTACACTATATGTGTCAAACCAGTACTAAGGCTAATATTATTTGGTTAATACTATTATTTAATGAAATAGATTTTTAGAAATATTTAGTTATTCAATGAGGTGCTAGTGGAAATTACGTCTCCCTCAACGAAGTGTAGGAAGTTCAGTAAAAATGCAAGTTAATCATTTTGGACCATCTAAGTGAACCCTTGCATGGCCTCAAATCTGGATTAAAAGGTGGGGCAAAAGGTAAGAGCGTAAAAGTAGAGGCTACCAGAACAGAAAATACTAGAGATGCTGAGATACGTCTTAAAAACAAAACCTTGGCTTATATAATCCTGTTTAAATCCTGCCTGACCAAAACCAAGTGCAATTGGTTTTCGACTAGCCCCCTGAGGTAACATGGTTTTTGCAGCTTTATTTTAGTGTGAAAGTGCCTGATTAAAAACGACTATTTAATAATTCATTTGGAATCTCGGTTCGTAATTGCTGAGCAAAATCAATCCGCCATAGTCTTCCGATGAGCTCAACCATCGAACCTATTATTTATGTATTTTGAACGAAACACATGAAAAACTACTTAATGCAATTCAGCATCATATAAATCGTACTTATAGACTTTGTGGTATTTAAATATCCTTCTTTGGCCAGCTTTAGCTACTGAATTATAGAGAAAACCGCCCTAACGGCATGCCCTGGCGCGGAAAGTCCGAAATCATATCGGCAGCTTTCTCCTAAGTCTACCTCCAATTTGTACTTTTTGACAATGGAAGGAATATAGATTAGTGTTCTCGACTCCACAATGCTAAAATAAAATAAGAGAAATTGAACTTACATTTCCAGACCGTCTTCATCAACCAAATTAATCAAAGATAATATTTGTAGATTTAATGACTAGAATTCACTATATAAAAATGAATCATTATCCCGGAGTTCGGTCAAATCTGGTACTCTTAATTTACTAAAGTTGAGCTTATGACCTAATATGTCCGCTTTAACATTTATTTTGATGAGGGATGTGATTTCAGACTGCCAATTGGACTCGTTCATTTATAATGTATATGAAATATATTAACAGGTTGTCTAAATGTTTAATAAGAACTCAAATCGATTTCGGTCGTTTTGATCCATATTCTGGAAAAGAAAACATTTTTGAGGCTATGCTACGGAGTATCTTGAGGAGTAATCAACTGAACTTTTGGAACTGGAATATAAATCCTTCGCCAAATTGAGAAAATTTGAGTGAATTAAGTATTGTTTTTGGTGACTACCAGTAAATCAGTTATAAGATGTATTCACCCAATTTTGTTAAAGGTGATGAAGGACTGGTAGAAATAGAATT